AGAAATTAGTACAATTATCTTAGCTATCTTGACCACACTCATAAGTGAAATAAATCAGGCTCAGTCTATTTTCTGCAAAGTAGTAGGTTGTTCTCACCATGTGAAATACTCTGGATGAACTGGGTAGTACCCACGCTAGTCCAAATCCTACCAAGATGAGTCCACTGAGCACATACATAGGTGCCATGCAATGTCAAATGACGGTAAAAGCTTTCAAATGGCTATTTTCAACTTTTATGTTGTGTGGGGCATGGTGACTAATGATATCCCAACCACCGGCCGTCCACAGACACTGTGATTTGAGCTGCTCTAGAACCAAGTCTCAGTGACTCAAGATAAAAATGGTAGCATGATTGAGGGTGCACACTCATTCTTGATTCTCGTTTTCAGCTATAATAAATAGGATTTAAATGTGTGTTTACTGAGAAAATGCTGCACTACTAATTTCCACTATTGCACTTAGAAAATGAGAAACAGGAAGAGCACAGACAAACATTTCAATTGGGAATGATAGAAAAATACTAGATGATCACTTCTGTGGTCCAAAATACAAATGTATAAAAGTTAGACCTGAGGAAAGCCAGTACGACCCATAGTCCATGAGGAGGAAATGCTACCAGCCCCTCGGGTTCATACACTCAGGTCCATTCATTGCTGCGGAGCAAATCAAAGGAGGCCACTTATCTTGGTAAACAGGGAAAGCATTTGCTCAAAATCGTCTCCAAGTAGATGGCGGGGGCCGTTTGCTTCAAACCAGCACCTCACAGTTTACAGGTGGGCATTAAGTCCACCTGTATATTATATTATTATTTATCTGTTTAATTATATTATATTATTTATCTGTTTAATTTATATTATTTATCTGTTTAATTTCTGCATCACCTTTAGTACTTCATTTCGTATAGTATATTTTTGTGTTCTATAGTATATATCTATTTTAAGTTACTCATCCAACAATTTTTCAGGGAAGAGATGGCAGAGAGAAGGCCAGATGAATGTCAAAGAGAGAAGCTCATCTTCGGTTGTCATGTGATCATGATATTAATTAGGTAATAGGGATACAAGAGCCATTAGAGGATTCTAATATAAAGAAAATAGAGCAGAAAATGAGTGAGCCTTGGCTTTCCTGAAGCTACAATTAAGCAACAGAAAATAAAGAAGCTCCTACAGTCAGAAAGAATTAAGCTAAGAGGACTAAAATAACATCTAGAACATAGCTGCATAGTAAAACGGGGATCAGCAACATTTTTCACATAGCTTCTTCTGCTTTGCAGTCTCACTGGTCATTGTCACTGTAGCAATGAAAACAGCCAGTGACAACTTTTAAATGAATGTGTGTATCTGTGTCCCCATAAACTTTTATCTGAATATTGTGTACTATTTTCATGCATAAAACATTCCCTTTTATCCGTTGTTCTCCAATCACCAAAACACAGAGAAAACACTCTCAGCTCCAAGACTACATGAGAACAGACACTGGACTAAATTTGGCTTTGGGACTCCCATTTCCTGTCTCTGCCTTACAAGAATGAAGAACATTTCACAAGAAATCAAATGTTTGAAAAAAAACCAAAGCAGTTTAAAATATAAGCAACTTGAAATTGTAATGCAATGACAAGGCTTTCTCTATGTACATATTTTATTTACATATATAGCTCTATGCAGGCTTCCTCATGAAGAGATACTCAGTGATCCCTCAAGAAGGAGACACTCAGTGATCCTTCAAGAAAAGACCGAGATGGGTTATTGGAAATTCTGGGGACACTGGTGAGTTTGAAGGCATCAGTTTTGGAGAAGATAATATAATGAAAGGCTCTTGGAGGACTTATTGGTTGGAAAGGAAGGTTGAAAAATGAAAGTGAAGTTTTAAAAAACTTTTCAAATTTCTGAAGAAAAATAGATAAATGATTTAAAGTTAAAGCAAACAAATCCAGTTAGTGTTTTTAATAGTTTACTTCTCAAGTTAGGGGTAAGGTGTATGTTTGGGTGATTTGAGACTTAATGCATTTATAAATGTGCAGTACTGCAAGCCTTTCGGAGAGTAGGAAATAATAGGTAAATCTCCCAAGATGAGAAAGAAAGTCACGCCAAGAACTCACTGAGTTGGATGCAAGGGAAATGGGGGTCTCCTACAAACACTGTGTGTTCTTTCAAAGTAGTGCAGTGTGTGTTATGTAGAGGATGTGAATGAGGAAAGAATGATGGGAATTTGGAGATTTGAGAGCAAAGCAATTATTACAATAAATAAAAATGGTAAATTACCAGTAGAAGACAAGTGAATACACTGCTTAGCAAATCAGGTACCTTTCCCATTATTGTAACTGTAAACTTAAAACTCTCACCTTCACTAGTAACATGTTTTGTGATCCTTTACAATCTTGGGACAGGGTAATGCACAGGCAGGAAATGGGGTGTAATATGGAAATAACGCAATGGGAGTAAGTCCTGATCATGAACTAGAAGTGACTTCTTCTGTGACTCATCTTCATTACTTTAACATCTTATTAACCCTTTTATTCTCAGTGGGGGATGCTCCTACCGAACGTGACTTCATGACACTCAGATATCATTCCTGAGAGTTTTCTTCTTCAGCATGTATTATCTTAATCTAATTTTTGTGTCTGATAATTTTATCTTCTTTTTATCCATTCAATGTCTAATGCATGAGACAAAATCATTTTTCTTCAATTCACATGCACGGAAATAAATATTAATCTATGTAATCTGAAAAAATGCATGCTACTATTAATTGGGATTTAACAGGCTATCATCCGAAATAGTGACATAAAACAGAGCAAAGAAAATGCAGCGTGACTGTTAAGAAACTTTGAATAGCTTTGCAGATACGGTTGGAAGTCAGGTCAGGGATGTCTTGCCGCAGCGTCATGAGAAAGGAAACGATTCCCCGTGGAGGACTTTGTTTTACTGTTTAGTAGTTTTGCAGCGCACAGCGGTGGAGATTGTCCCTGGTCTTGTGGTTATTCGGCTGACAGTCAGATCTCCGGTCACTCATACTTTTCATCATCTTGGCAGGCTTTGTCTGTAGAGTTTACACAGCAGCAAAGAATTCGTAAACACTTCCCTACATTCCAAGCCTTTCATCAGACCCCGCTTTTCCTCTGGATGCTTCTCAAGTGCATAATTCATGCTATGTCTCTTTCCACGAAGAAGTTCTCATCTGCGACATTCAGTGTACTGCTGAAAACAGGCTGTCACAGAAAGTGTTTCCGCGGACTTGCGGAGTGAAACTGCGGTACTGTGCGGTCCTGAGCAGGTGCTGAGCGCAGACCGGCTGGGGGAGGTGTGTCACCTCCTCAGGGTACGGCCGAGTCACGGGGACCCCCCTCCGCACCTCATGGTGGCTCTGGTACACGCCATGTGCGGGGCCCACGCCCGAAGTGCAGCGCCGCCCGAGTCTTTCACACCCTGAGGAGCGGCGTGCAGGCGCCGTGCTCCCAGCCTGAGCCCCAGAGCCCTGTGCTCTTCAGAGGAGAGCACGACTGTTTCACCCCCCGGACCTTAAACATTAGCAAGGGCTTTAGATTCCTCTTGAAGTAGCCCGCATGTCTGAAAAGCGTGAGCAACAGACCACAACTCTCTCAAAGTCCTTTTGTATTTAAATTATTTTCTAAGTTTTATGCAAAACGAAAAACCACCTATAGTTGTTGTGCTGGGTACAGTATTAGGTATTCATACAATTATTAAGTATCACAAGTGGAATATCTGCTGTCAGTATTATTTTTAAATAAAAATGAGTGCTTAGGAGAATTTATAATGAAAGTGGGGTGTTTGTTTCTTTGTGAGACAGGCTTGTGATGCTACCCAGGCTTGTCCCAAACTCCTTGAATTACGAAATTCTCCGGCCTCAGCCTCGGCAGTAACAGGGACTACGGATATGCACCACTGTGACCAGCTCTGAAAGTGTTATTGATTTGTCTCCTGTTTATTAAGTACTGATAGTAAAGGGTATCTGTACAGAAGCACTAACGTTCCATATAAACTAAGAAAGAACTTCGTTTATGAGATAACTGGGTTACACAAATCAAATAAATTAGATATTAATCATTAATATGTAGACCTAAATGAATCAAGTGAAACATTGAAATAATTGTTTACTATCTTATCATTACTGTTATATAAATAGGTATTTATCACTGCACAAATATCTGGCGTGCAATTCAACTAGTCTTTCTTCCTAGTGGATTTTCTAACTATCAACTGTGAGGATCATTAACACATTTAAAAAGTGAAGATATAAATCATGAGTTAGGTGACATTTTCAGTTTAGTACCACTTACAGGCCCACACAAATCACAGAGACTGATGAACGCCTTAACAATAATCTACTGACAAAGCAAAAGAAGGAATCAGAATGTCTGTGTTCTTCACTGCCCTTCGCTCATGCACGGCCTGCTGATAGGAACTCACCAAGCAGGAAACCGCTCCCGAGAAAGGCCGGGAAGATGAAGACGCTTTGGAAAGCTCACGCTGGATACAAAGCAGATGAAGGGGACAGTTGAGGAGCTGTCTGGCCTCTTTGGTCCCAGCTCTCTTTCCCCGCGGGCCGGAGGCTTCGGTCCCTTCCCGGGCTGGGGATGCTGCCGGTCCTCTCCTGCGCGCACTCGCTGCGTTCCTCCAGGGCAACCTGTGCTCTGTGAAAGAAGGCTGAGACTGGGAGAAGCGGGAGAAACATGGGCTTTATGATGTGTTTGTGAAATTGTCCAGGTATAAGCAACTGGGAGAAACTAAAAGTAGTACATTTCTTTAGAAAAACCAGTAAATAAGAACACGAAATTTACGTGTAAGGGACCTCGTTCACGTTGATTTCTCTATGAGCAATGAAGGTAAGCAGGCTCTATTTTATTTAAAACTTCCTGGAGATATTTTTAAAATTGAAGGTTGAAAGTAGTAAAGCACCAAGTATGAAATCCTCTCGGACGTTCTCGCGCTGACGCTGTAATCTCATCTCTGGATGTCACTTTCTGTCTCCTGGCTTCCAGGGTGAGGTCTGCCCCAAAGCGGAGGGAGATGAGGTCCAGCGGTGTGTGTGGGCCTCCGCCGTCAACGTCAAAGACAAGTTCATCTACGCTGCTCAGCCAACGTTCAACAGGCTCCTGATTGTGGATGTGCAGTCCCAGAAAGTGGTTCAGGTAGGCACTGTTGCTGCTTTTGAAAGCATAACTTTAGAAAATACTTACATTAACCCGTAGCTTTTCCCAGGTAACTCGTTCATTGCCGTAGGATTGTCATTAGTAATCATTAGCATAACTTGAAGTGTTCACATCTTCCGCCAGCTGGTTTCTATTCTGTGCCCTGAGGCTGGGGGACTGAGGAGGTTACTTTGTTTTACCAAATTGGATTCATAAACACATCCTAACAGTAGCATCAGGTTCCCCTGGAGGACTTTGCTGCTTGTGTCCAAAGAAAAGAGAGGAGACTCAGAGACACTGAAGATATTCTTAGTCATCCTTCCAGAATCAGAGTGAAGTCTCCCTTGCTTTTATTCTGCACAAAAGCTGAGGCAAGTGTAGACTTCCTAGAACACAGCCACTTAGTAGAATGTGCTAACTAGTAGCAAAGCAGGTACTGTGTGATAGCTCAGTGACAGGGAAATGCTACCTGAATGTGACCCTGGAGATGTTCTCACAGTGCTCCTCCTCCGTGGGCAACTCACTTACCTTCCTCGAACAGCAGCTCAGAGCCAGGGTGGGTACCGAGGAGTCTGCCTCCGGGCTGTGGCTGGGCAGTTATGATCTACTGCCTCTCAGTGCAGGGGAAATAAATATGCAGTGGCTGTGGGACATGCATACGACCTGCTAAATGGCAGTGATAACAGTACATGCCTTATGAAGTTATGTTGAGGGTGAAATGACTTATTCATGGCAGGCTTTCTAGCAGACCTTCTCGTATAGACTGGTATATACACTTGCTTGTTTGCAGAATCTCTTAGAGACGGGGGATCTTGGTCATCCCTTATATTTTTGGAGAGCTTTTTGAGTCAATGTAGATTTGAAATTGACATTCTAATGTAGATTCCTGATTAGAACAGAAATTTTTAAGAAATTCAAAGTGTGGCGACTCAGTGTGAGAATGATTAACAACTTCACATGATTACATCCATTCATCCACCCATCCACACATCCGTCTATCCATCTAGTCTTTCACCCATTCAACTATTTCCCGGTCAATCTTATATCTGTCTGTTGATAGATGTTAGGATATATGTTGCATGTCACAAATAAAAGAACGACAGTATCTCTACTAGAAGGCTCTGGTTCCCAAAGTTGCAAATTCACGGTGGATAATAGGTCTGATATTTCAATGCTGATGCAAGAGTGCACAGCCCAGTACTGAGCTAAGTATGAATGCTATTCTAGGAAATGGTAGGACTTCCAGGCCTATGCATTTATCATAAGCATCCGATCTAATGGTCCCTTACATATTGTGAGAATAAATATTGCTGTATATTTTACCTCTTTGCATTGGATTTTGAGACTGCTGACTCTTCAGCAAATTGGTTTCATTTTTATTTTCAGCGCCAGATAGGCCAGTACAAATTACAGATATTTAGTCTAGGGTGATGAAAATTTTTTGCCAGCAGTTTAAAATTTGGTATGTTTCAGGAAAAATTAAGCTGGTGTTTTAATTCAGATTTAACTAGAAACTTACACTCACTGCATACATATTTCTACTAAATATTCAAAAGAAGGAAAAGCTAATATCACTTATTATTCATAAAACTTCACCTTCAGATGATGATGTCAAATTTAAAATTAATAGAGTTTATCATAATGTTGAGGCTATAGTAATGATCACATAAATTGTGTTACTTTCAAAGCATCTATTATAATCATGAAATTCTATGACAGTATAAAAGACTTCATATAATGCTAAAAAAGGTAGAAATTTTATTTTGATATAATTATAGTTGTACAGATATTTCACTTAGAATCTAGCATGTACATATTTGTAGGTTATAGGACTGGCCTCAGTAGATTCTCATGGCTGTTATTAAAATCATAATATTTTATTTGTGTTTAATATTATCTCATTGAAGACAAGATTTATCTAGATTTTGGTTACCTCATATAACTAATGCTAGATTTTGAAAATTATATAAATGGAAATATATATTATTCACTATTTGAATGTGACTATTTGTGCTCTACATTATGATTGCAAGTCATACAATTTGTGTTATTCTTTATTGCTATGAGAAAATATTATAATTGACTATTAGTATTTGTGGATTCTTTATTTGTAAATACATCTGCTCTTTAAAAATTATTTATAACTTTAAAATCGATGTTCATGGCAACTTGTAGTCATGTGTGGACATTCACAGAGTCACACGACATTGTCTGCAGACACACACACTCCCAGCTGGAGTAACGGGTACCTTGTTTGCATGTTGTGCTGTTGTGAGCAGTTCGCAGTTGGAAATGGCTCCTGAGCACAGCACTGAGGTGCAGTACCTGCCCACCTTTTTCATACTTTCCTTGGGAACCAGACTTTAAAGACTAAACAACTAAATAGCATTTCAATATACATGAGAAAAGTGGAAGTGCATACGCATTTAAAAGCTCACAAGGGCCTGAAGAAGTTCACCTTTGCACCAGTCTTCAGCATACAGGTTTTAATATTAAACATAAAAAACATCAAACATTGAGGAAGGAGAATAAGATTCCCATAGTTAACATAAGATTTGAATGTTCAGTCCTTAGCAAACAATCACTAGGCAAATAAAGGAAGAAGAAAGTCTACTTTTTAAGAAGAAAAACAGAATGAATCAATTGATGTTTTTTCTTAAAAATGCCCAAGGTAGGTCAATAGACAAAGACAAAAAAGTACCTCCTAAAGATGCTTAAAGAAATAAAGACGTGAAGGTCAAGAAAACCATATATGGAAATATTAATAGGAGAAGAAAGCAAAATGGAAGCTTCAATAAAGGAGTAAAAGCCCAGAAAGAAAATGAAGAAGGAAGGAAGGAAGGAAGGAAGGAAGGAAGGAAGGAAGGAAGGAATGAAGGAGGAAAGGAAGGAAGGAAGAAAGGAAGGACAGAGGAAGGAAAGAAAAAAGGGTCCTAGAATCTGAGAAGTGCAGTCGTTGAGAAGAAAATTTCAACAGGTGTCAGGGTTTGCAAGGGGAACAATATAGGACGCACAACTTATAGGGTTATTTCATAGTAGTCACCCAAAGAGTCACATACAAAGAGAGTGCAGGAAATCTGTCCACACACTAAAGACCCAAAGAATCCAGCTGAGAGCTTAGATCCCACGGCAATATTCTGTACGAGTCCAGCTGGAGGCCTTGAGCCCACTACCATGTCTCATGCAAGTCTGTTTCAGGGATCTGTGCTGTGAAGGCCCAAAGGTCAGTGGTGGAACCTGGAAAGTCTGTGCCAGTGGGATGAAGGATCTGTGCTAGCAGGGGGAGAGATCTACACTGGAGCCAGGAAGCGGTGCTCAAAGTAAGACCCAGAGCTCCCTCAAAAGTTACCACAGCCATCCTCAGTGACAATTAGGCGCTGAACTCCTCCAACAGTGAGAACACTTGAGTCTACATTAGGAAAGCCAGCATGACAAGCTTCTCCTGGAGACTGAACAGTGCACCACCTTCCCCTCTGGAGCCAGAAAGTGATGCTCAAAGTAAGCACCAGATTTCCCCCAAAGTGAACCGTAGCCATTCTCAGTGACAATAAGGTCCTTAGCTCCTTTGATGATGAGAACAGCTGAGTGCATATCAGGAAAGACACAATGACAAGCTCCTCCAGGAGAACCAACAGATTCCAACATGTTCTTCTCCAGTTCTCCTTTTTATTTTGTTGGCAACAACCCTCAGGTGGGCCTTCCACACCCTGCATCACACTAGGTCAGTTCAGCTGGGTCTTACAGATTGACCACCAGTTGTCAATCCACCGCACCAGGCAGATGGGACACACCAATAATTGCAGCATTTGTAGCCTGAGGCAGGACTGCTGAGAGTTCAAGGCCAGCCTAGGCTACATAATGAGCTCAAGATCAGCCTGAGCTATATGACAAAAATCTCTTTCATAAAACAGAACAAAACAAGACAACAACAAATTTCACTAGAGGAATTCATGAACAGGTTTGTGCAGGCAAAAAACAAAATGAACGAGAAGATGGGATTCAAACCATTCAGTCTGAGCTGCAGAATGAAAAATACTGAAAAAAAAGTAAATAGAGCATAAAAGACTTGTGAGCATTGTTAATCTATCAGGCTTATAGTCGATGAAAATTCCAGAAGAAGAGAGAGAAAAAAAAGGACAGAGAGAATATTTGGAGAAATAATAGCTGAAAACTTCTCAGGTTATAAACACTCACAAAGCTCAATGAACTCAAGTAAGATGAACTCAAAGTGACCAACACCCAGATACATTATTATTTAATCTTCAAAAATGAAGATTCTGAAAGAGAGAAATAACACACACTGGGCTCCTCGATAAATTTGTTAGCAGCAAGTTTCTCATAAAAACTATGGAGGCCAGATGGTAGTAGGCCAAAATAGAAAGTGATAAAAGACACAATTAAAACAAAACTCTGCACTGAGAATCCGATACTTAACAAAAACTGTCCTTAAAAAGTGAAAGGCAACTCAAGACATTCGCAGATAATGGGAGGTGTGAATATTCATTACTGCTCTTCTTGCCTGGCAAGAAATGCTGGAGTGAGTTGAAAAGAAAGCACAGGAGAGGGGCTGGAACCCAAGTGAAGAAACAGAGATCAAATAAAGGTGAAAACATGGGCAATTATAAAAAATAGGATTACCATAATAAAGCCTTAAATTCCACTTGTGGTCTTCTCCTCCTTTGTTTTTCTTAACAAAATTTAAGAGAGTAGTGCATTTAAAAGAATTATTGGTTTATATTTTGGGACAGGCAGTCTATAAAAATGTACCTTTGTGACATCAAGAACTAAAAGATGGGGAGGAGCTACAAAAAGAATCCTTCTTCAGTGCTACTGAAAATAAACTAATATAAATTAAAGATGTGAATTTTAATTCTTATGGTTAACACAATTAATGTAGTTCTAGAATACATATATATATGAGGAAATTAATTAGAAAGGAAATTTAATATTTCATCATAAAATCAGTTGACCATGAAAGAAGGTAGTAACATAGGCAAGGG